CACTTGTGCAAACCTTCAGGGACTTTTGCTCCTTTAGAGAACTAAAATGATGGCTGCTAGTTCTCAGATGTGAGTGTGTCAGGTGAGAGTGAATCATAGTCATCTAAGGCTAAAGAAGGAGGCATCAGAAGCCAGGTCAGGATGTGGTAATAAGAGAAAACCAAGGTCCCAGAGGTTAATCATTTGCCCAAGGTCAAAGAGTAGGTAGTTAGCTGAATTGGAAGCCATTCATTATATTAAATAAATTATGGCACGTGTACAACAATGACATAGTATGTCAAATTCAAAGACCAAAAACTTGTGAATGCAATGAATCATGTCACTGGAAACAGCTCTGGTCTCCAGAGATCCACCCTCACGGATGAGAACCTGAGATCATCATAACTGGAGCAGAACTGAGGTCTTCTTTGTCTTTGAAAATTATATCATTTTATATGCAAAACACTTGTATAGTGCTTTAAAATGTATGTTGAAATTTAAAACTAAGACTAACACTTTAAAGTGCACAGGTTTGAGGACAATTGCAGGTGATTTTTAGAACGGTGTAGCTTAATGTTGCCTTTGGACTTTTACTCCCAATAAGTATTTATTTTTGTTGGTAATGAAGGAGTAGCAATCCTACCCAAAGCAATCTACAGATTCAATTCAATCCCCATCAAAATCACAACACAAGTCTTCAAAGATCTTGAGAGGACAATTTTCAGCTTCACATGGAAGCAGGTGCACACACACACACACACACGCACACACACACACACACACACATACACATATACAGGGCAGCCAAAATAATCCTGAATAATAAAAGAAGTTCTGGAGGTATCACCTCCAATTTAAAGTTGTAGTACAAGCATGGTATTGGCACAAAATCAGAAACATTGATTAATGGAATTCAATTAAAGACTACCATAAATCTACACACCCATAGACACCTAACTTTTTAATGAAGTAACCAGAAATACATACTGGAAAAAAAAAAGACAGCATCTTCAATGAATGATGCTACTCTAATTGGATGTGTACAAGTAGAAGAATGCAAATAGATCCATACTTATCACCCTGCACAAAACTCAAGTCCAAGTGGATCAAAGACCTCAACATAAAACCAGATACACTGAACTTGAAAAAAGTGGGGAATAGCCTTGAAGGCATTTGTATAGTAGACAACTTCCTGAACAGAACACCATTAGCACAGGCACTAAGATCAACAATTAACAAATGGGACTCATTAAACAAAAAAGTGTATGTAAGGTAAAGGATACCATTATTCAGACAAAGTGGAGGCCCACAGAATGGGAAAAGATTTTTACTAACTCCATATCAGATAGCGGACTAACATCCAAAATATAAAAAGAACTCAAGAAATTAGACATCAAAAAACTAAATAAACTAATAAAAAAAATGAGGTACAGATCTAAACAAAGAATTCTCAATAGAGGCAACTTAAATGACTGAGAAACATTTAAAGAAATGTTCAACATCTTTATCCATCAGAGAAATGCAAATCAAAATGTCTTTGACAGGACTTGGGAGTCAGGGACAGGTGGGTCTCTGTAAGTTTGAGGCCAGCCTGGTCTACAGAACAAGTCCAAGACAGGCTCCAAAGCTACAGAGAAACCCTGTCTCAAAAAACAGCAGCAGCAACAACAAAAAAGACTTTGAGATTCTATCTATACCTGTCAGAATAGCTAAGATCAAAAACACAAGTGACAGCTCATGCTGGCAAGAGGGTGGAATAAGGGGGAACACTCATCCATTGCTGGTTGGAGTGCAAACTTACAGAGCCATTATGGAAATCAGTGTGGCAGTTCCTCAGAAAGACAAAGCTATACCATTTTGGGGTATATACCCAAAGAAAGGTCCATTGTATCACAAGGATACTTGCTCAATTATGTTCATAGCAGCTTTATTTACAATAGCCAGAAAATGGAAACAAACTAGATGTCCCTCAATAGAAGAATGGATAAAGAAAATATGGTACATGGAATATTACTCCACTGTTTTTTTTTTAATGTCATCATGAAATTTACAGGCAAATTTATGAAACTAGAAAAAAAAATAATCCTGAGTGAAGTAACCCAGACCTAGAAATATAAATATGGTATGTAGACTGAAAACGAGAGATATGTATTCATTTCTATATATGGATATTAGCCAGTAAGCAAATGATAACCAAGCTACAATCCAAACATCCAGAGAGGTTTGGTATAGAGGGACTAAGGGGGACACATGGCTCTCTCTAGGAGGGAGAAATAGAATAGATTTTATGGGTGAACTGGGGGCAGGATGGAAGAATCATGTGGGGAGGGGAAGAGGCGATGAAGTTGAGGTAGGGGATACAAGAGAGACACCTAGAATTGAGAGACATTTGAAGGGTGATATAGACACCTAGTGCGGTGGAAACTTAACTAAAATATACAAAGGCAATCCTAAAAACGTCTCCAAATAATGAGGAAGACAGAGTCCATGCTGGCCATCACTTGCCACCAAACAAAGCTTCCTGGATTACAACCAACTGAGTTGTGGACCAAAGGGGTCCTGTGGAAATCCTCAAATAACCCAGGCTGTTGCCAAGACAATAGGCTTCCCTCCACAAACTGACAACAAAGCCACGTTGCTGAAGACAATTCATAGAACATGGAGATGTCGAACTGGTAACTACATACAACCTTCACTCCTATGTTCTAGTCTTCAATGCAGGAAGGTACTCTGCAAGCTACCAATGAAGAAAGGTAAACACCAACCCAGCTACAAACCCTTTGGTCTACACTGCTGTCCTCCCTGAAAAATATGCATGGGCAATGGTAGCACAAAGCTTGTGAGAGTAACCAACCAACATCTGATGTGACATAAGGCCCACCCCTCAAAGTGAAACCCATTACTGACACTGCTTGGCTATCCAGAGACTGAGGGTGAAACTAAATACTACTGGTCTAAAAAAAAAAAGTCATGAGACAATGGCTCCTAATGACATTCTGCTGTACTCATAGGTCAATGCCTTGTTCAGCCATCATCAGAGGAGATTCCTCCTCCAACAGAGGAAACAAATACAGAGACCCTCAGCCAGACTCTACACACAGAGAGAGGGGGGGGTGGTAGAGCAGGCAGGCAGGCAGGCAGACAGACAGACAGACCTAGTAACACACAGCTCTAAATAGGATGTTTCCATCAAATCCCTCTCCTCAGATCTCAGGAAACCCTGCGGAAGAAGGGGTATAAAGAGTGTAAGAAACAGAGGGGATGGAGGACACCAAGAGAACCTCTAAATCAACTCAGAAAAGTTCATAGGAATATATATATATATATATATATATATATATATATATGTTAGTATTTTTATGGGAGTCCTGAATTTGTCAATGTGATAGTTTTTGATGTTTTATTATATTTTACTTTGTTATGTTTCAAAAAAAGGAAACCATCATTTAAATAAATAATAAAATGAAAGCTGAGACAAACAATAGTGTGCAGGCCTTGAGGGACAATTACAGTTGATTTTTAGGGCTGTGTGGTGTAATGGTGCCTTTGGTCTTTTACTTCCAATAAGTATTTCTTTACTTCTGGTGTCAGGTAATGATGGAGTGGTCCAGTAGCTGGTTTGTGCCTAGATATAAAAGCCAGGTCTCAAATACGGTTTTGGGGTGGATTGGGTTTGAAGTTGGATGGAATTTCTCATGAAATTGACTGTGAGACCCAGAGGAAAAAGAGCAGCCATTCACCTGTACAGACATCCAGGCAGGACTGGGAACTGAATTTTGAGCATTGGTATTATTGGAATCTCAGTTGAACTCACAAGCTGCTATGAACCATAACAATCAATTATAGGCTAACAGTATTGAAATTATAGACACACCCTAACTTAGAAGAATAGATGAGGCTTACATTTCAGGGCTATTCTCCAAACTATAACTTTAACACACTTGATGACTTCATTGTTGTCAAATTTACATTCATACAGAGCTAACCACATAGCTCCACTTCTAGAGCCCTTACTGCTCCCTTCTCTGTGCATGTAGAACAAACCTTTTGGCTTCTATCTGCTGCTTTTTCTCCAATGCAGCCCAGTTAGATATAGTAAAACACAATGCCTAGAGGAGAATCAGATAAAACTGCAGTCTCACTCCAGCTTCAGCATTTACAGGCTATGCAACCTTGAGTGGGTCTAGGCAATTCAAAGCCTGCTAACTGAAGCAATGGACTTCGTGTTTGATTTGCTGTCATGTAAGAAATAACTACTAGCACATGGCTGTGGATTGCATCAGAAGAGTGAGGATCGTGAGGAGGATTCAACTTCCCTGCCTTCTCATGCCATGGCACATAGTTCTTCAGTGGCAGGGAATATGCCCTTTACTTTGACTTTCAAAGTCTAAAAGACAATATAAACTGTACCTATGAGGCTCTGACATGAGGCCTTCCAATTCTTTGTCATAATGACAATGATTAAGTAATGTATCTGACGTTAGAGGGGCCTATTTCCTGGGAGAAAAAGTTAAATATGATATACCACTGCCCATGCCATTAAGATGATATGTAATATTTGTACTTCTGGATTTTACCTACTAACGCTAAGATCATTGGAAAATCATGAAGCATTGTGATACAGATGCGTGCACACACACACACACACACACATTTATTTATGCTCATATGTTAAAATATTTTTGCCTTAGTTCTTCAGACTGTTTAGGCTCATCATATGGCCATCTTAAATTCTGAATCCTTTGGTTGCTTAGAGAATCATTTCTCTAATCCCCAAGTTACATTTTCTCACACACAATGAAAGACAAAAATAATCAGTGGAAATCTGTTCAAAGTCAATTGGTCAATTTCTGTCCTATGGTAGGAAGAACTAAATCATTCTTCTATTCTAAACCTGTCAGAGAACAAAAAAGTCTTTGAAGTCCTACACTGGGTGTAGAAGTGGCTATCTTCAGAGGTATGTACATCTCATTTGATGTGGCAAGTTCACACAGATGTCTGCGTGTGTCCATGAAACTTACTGTGCCCAGGTCAATGATGAAGCAGTCGCCCTTGTTGAAGCTCTCCCAGCTGAGAGGAACTTCCGTGGCCCTGACCACTCTCCGACCCTTCACATGCAGGAGTCGCTGGGCTGTCAGGTCATTGGTGAGAACATGGTTTAGTCCGGAAGCCACGCCTCCAGCCTGGCCGTGGAGAAGGAAACACAAAACAGAGAGAGGTGAGACTACTATGTAGACACAGCAGACACAAGCAAGAATGCACAGGCCAGGATAGACACCACCGCAGGACAAGTGGAAAGGGACTAGTTGGTAAAAATCACCAGGTGAGTTGGTTGCTTTGCTCGTTTTCCCGGATCGTAAAAACTTACTATAAAACTAAAAATAGTTACTGAGGGCCCTCAGTAAGGAATACCCTGCTTCATAAAAAGTAAAGTCAGCGGTGAGTGCCCTGGTGTTTCCAGATGATCCCTGAGTGAGCACACAGATTGTAGGCAAGAAAGCAACAGGGGGCTAGAAAAAATGGAGATGAGGAGCCTCAACTATAGTAGTGCAGAACAGGTCCCCAACCTTCCTATTGTCACTCACAGAAGAGAGTCCCCAATGTTCCCACCATCACCATAGAAAAAAGGTCCCCAACCTTCCCACTGTCACTATAGACAAGAGGTCCCCAATGTTCCCACCATCACCATAGAAAAAAGGTCCCCAACCTTCCCACTGTCACTATAGACAAGAGGTCCCCAATGTTCCCACCATCACCATAGAAAAAAGGTCCCCAACCTTCCCACTATCACACAGCAGAGAAGAAAATAGGAGATGTGATTAAGGGAGGGCTATTCCTACAAAGGATACAAACAAACAAACAAAAGCACAGGACTGAGTATTTTAATCTTAAGGGAGATACAGAATCTGGATTCTATATCCCCAAACAGAACAAAACAAAAAGCACAGAATGAGAATTTCTGAAGAAAAAAAAACTTTAACTGTCACTCACTACATCTTCCTGTAGTATTGCAATCATCTTTTACACTTTTCTCTTTTCCTAATTAAAAATTAGGAACGATATTTTTACTTTTATAACAATCAATAAGATGATGTGCATAATTATGAGGTTATATTATACATTTATATATATACATATATATATAAACATATACACACATTTTTTTAAAAACAATATTGTTGAGTTGCCCAGGATGGCCTCAAATTTACAACCATCCTGCTTCAGCTTTCCAAGAACATTCTACTTTTAAAAGTAAGTAGGGTTACATTGTGATCTGGTTGTTAAATAGTATGTGAAAAAAAGTTATAATGTGGAATCAGATTTAGATTGTTATCTCTAGCCCCTTTCCCACATACATAGAAAACATTCCAGCTAATCTCATAGAGTGAACCATCAGAGCAATTTATACCTTAAAATTTAACATTCTTTTTTTAAAAAAAAAAAAAACATAATCCTTTCTCTGGCCAGTGAAATGGCAGAGTAGGTACAGATGTTTGCTTCCAAGGCTGACAACTCAAATTTGATCCCCAGGACCCACATGGCAGAAGGACAGAACAGGCTCCTACAAGTTTTCCTCTAACCTACACACACACACACATACACACGTACACACACAGACACGTACATACACACACACAAATATATAAATATAATTTTTAAAGTTAAAAAATAATACTGCTTCTAATATACCCCCTCTCCCCAATAAAGAAGGCTGTATGTTGTCAGGCTGATGCTCGGCTCAGTGGTAAAAACATTGCCTGGCAAGCATTCTGGTCTGAGTTGAATCCCAGGAACCTACATAAAGGTAGAGGTAGAGAACTAACTCCACCAAGTTGTCTTCTGGCCTCCACACTCATGCAGTGGTACATGTGAGCCCTCTCCCAAAAATATCATACAGACTAATAATAATAATTATAAAAGTAAACAAAGTGAACCGACATGCCATACACATGTCTGCATTGGCAAGGGTAGCTCTTTCATGAACACCGAGTCAGCACTAGAAGCTTCCAGACCATCTCTGCTCTCACTAGGAAGGGCCACAGCTAAGCAGATAACCCTTCTAACCAGTGCAACCAAAAGCACAGGTTTGTGAGTAAAATATGTGTGCTGGTCACTGTCGGCAGTCATGGCTTGAGAAAAATACGTTAGTCAGAAATTCAACACCAGTAAGCAGTGGTAATGAACTTCTGTAAGCCCTCTGCTGGCTTTGGAAATGCCCAGAGAGAAATGACACAAACCCTGAGACAAGAAGATGATCCTGGCTTTCCCAGGGAAAGCTTTACATGGTAGACAACAACTTGGCATGATTTTGATAGACTTGTTAATGACAGACTCTGTCAAGTTTGCCCACTCAAAATAGATGCTAAACTGCTTCCCAGGTATTCCTTATTCTATCTATCTCTTGACATATGATTCACTTATTTATGTTGACGGCAACAGAGAATAGTAATTACCAGCTTAGGCGCTGGGGTCAGACAGTCACCTGGTCACTTACTAGCAGAGACCTCAAGTTGCACACTCTCTGAGTCTTGCCTCATCTATCTGAACAGAGTAGAACAGATGCAAATGCACCAACTGGGAGTTTATATTAAATAAGATAATTTGTATGTCACGATTAGCATAAACTTGAAAGTAAGAATGGGGTGAAACAGCATCCCATGTTCATCTCTGCCTTTCTGAGTGACTGGTTATCTCTGAAGCCACACCTCCTAGCATGCTGTCACTCCGCAGCACCCACACTAGCTCCATGCTGCTGATGAGAGATTCGGCTGATTCTATATGACCTCCACTTACAAACACCCCCCCTTTGAAAATTGCTGATCTATGACAGCTTTAATGTCGATAAAAGGTAATTACCAAAAGAAGGTAATTATCAAACAACTACAAAGTTACTTTTTTATTACATCCACTTTTACATATGTATCCTAGAATTTGCTTTCCAAGATCCTGTGTGATAGCCAAGATCCTGAGTATGTGATAATACTAGAATCTTAATTGTTTACTGTAATGCTTAATCCCCATACATTGTCTGTTTGGGGAACTAGGATAAGTTACATTGCACATCCCAGAAAGCCAAGGATTCTGAAAAGCTTCTGCATTCCTCTGAAGTAAACCAGCTGTCTGGATGAAATGGTTTCTGACAAGGTGACCCCATTGAACCTGCTTTGAACAGATGGAAGCTGTCAATTCTTCAAACTGTTGGGTTCATAGAATTGAAGTAAACTGATACAAACTGGAGGAGCTCACAGGAATTCGAAAAAAACAAAAACAAAAAAGGAGAGGTAGCATTTGTCTTTGAAGTGGTTTGCATCCTAGTGTGAAATAATGATTCCAATAAGAAACCTTATAATTGTTTTGTCTGACCTCGTGGTATTACAAATATTCAACCAAGGACATAATCAAATAAAGACAGACAAACGTGACATGTTTTGGTCATTGCTTGGGGGTTTGTTTGGTTGGTTAATTGGTTTGTTGGTTGACTGTTTTTTTATTTGTTTGTTTACATGTTTGTTTTTCTACTTTGATGTAGAGTATAGCTATATAGCTCAGGCAGACCTCGAATACATGATCCTGCTGTCTCAACCTCCCTAATGATGGTACTGTGGGTATGTACCTCTGGGTCTGACGTAGTTCCATCATTTTAAAGAATAAATTAACAAATATTCAGAAATCCTGCTGAGCTCTAAGGTCTAGGTACTCAGCAGGATCAAGGCAGTGGGTGTACACCCACTGGCCCATGTCTTCCTTTAGAGAGGGCTTGTTCCTAGGGTTTCTGTCTGTGGAGGGTGCAGACAGAATTAACTGAATTCATGGTCAGGGAGGGAAGGACTAGGAAAAGACTAGGAAAGGATAATCCAACTGCAAAACTCACTGGGAGAATTAGGATGAGAGACGAGGGATCTAGCCTTTACTATACATTGCCTTAAGAGGTATATCTATTTAGCTATCAATTCATACACATTTTTTTTTAATTATCAAGAAGGTGAGAATGTATCTCAGTTGGTAGAGTGCTTTCTCAGCATTTGGAAATCTCTGGGCTCCATCTCAAATACAGCACATACCTGCCATCCTACTACTTGTGAGGTAGAGACAAAAAGATCAGGAGTTCAGGGACATCTTTAAACTTAGTGAGTTTGAGGCTAGCCTAAGGCTACAAAAGAAAACATGTAAGTAAATTAGGTCATAATAATTCACACCATATCATACATTCTGAAACTGGGTTTCATTTACTGAGTACATACTGACAAATATGAGGATAAATCACACACACACACACACACACAGATTCTAAGACAAAGCAAAAACCAGATCCATGCCCTCCAGGAAGTTGTGGTCTATGAAGACATTAAGTGTGGACAATTAGGAAGAGAAACTGTTTGAAAGTGTCCCAATGGACAGTGTCAGAGAGAAGCACTTACCTTGTACTTCAGACCGCCTTTGAAATAGCCCACAAAGTCAGTAGACTCATAGCCTTGAACTTCTCTGCTCTGCACTGGCTTGCCACCCAGATAGTCGTCCATCTGGACTGTGAAGATGGCTGCTGCTGTGCTTTCATCCTGGGAACATTCCTTTCCTGAAACAACACAGCCCTCAGTTACACAGGAAGAGCATGGAGGCAGAGTTGATGCAAAGGACACTAGATGCTCTCATTTGTTTATTTATTTATTTATTCATATTAATTGAAATGTAACCCTCCTTTTCCTTTCCTCCGTCCAGCCCTTCCCATTCCCTTCTCAAATTGTGATCCCTTTTTATTTGAATATGGATGTAGATAGATATGTGTGCACGCACTCACACATGCGTGCACGCACACACACACATATGATACCACCTGCTGAGTTCATTTTTTTTTTTTTGTGTGTGTGTGTGTGTGTGTGTATGGTTTCAGGGCTGACCAGTTTGTATTGGGTAACCAGTTAGGGAGCTCATCCCTAGGATAGGCTAATTGCCCCTCTCCCAGCAGAACAATGACAACATCAATGGACAAGTTAACATGGAGATGCTTTCATTTGGGAGAGGTTTCAGACAGCAGTCTGCTGCTAAAAGATCCCATCAGGAGTAACCTGTGATATGTTATTTGGCTCATAACCAAAAGGTTTTCACATTCCTGCTATCTCCAGTTTCTTTAAGAATGTTTAAAAGAAGCACTACTACACAAATTGGCTTGTGGGGGGGGGGGGAATCAATATATTCTAGCAAGACTCAAGGAAGCATTCATTTCATATAGTTAATGAGATGCTGCCAGAAAGCTCCTTGGGACTGCTCTATCATCACACGTTCGCCCTGTGGTAAATAAATGGGAAATACTTTATAGGCCACAGTTAAATAACTTTGTGATCTTTAAGATTGGAAAGTGAATAAAACTTCACCTGTTCCCTATCTTTAATCCTGTTTCCCCAATATTTGGAGTATTGAAATAGTCACTGATGGAAAGACATCAAAGGGACCAGTGTGCTGAGGTCTCCAGAATGAAAGACAGTATACAATTAACTTTTACAATTATGAAAGAGAATCCACCCAGGTGTCTTTGCTGAAGTCAAATTCTACATGGTGTGTGATGTTCAGAGCCAAGATAAGCTTGAGGGAGACTCAGAGTTCATAAAAAATATAGTATAAGTTAAGTATAAATAAAATTAAAAAATTTTAAAAACAACCCTAAACTTTGAAACCCCTCACTACATCTGAGCTGACTGAAAATAATTAATAATAATGCAAATACCCACACATTTATGGTACTCTCACCATGGCCCACACAGCACTAGTGTTTTATATGTAAATGACATTCAAGTCGCTGTATGAAACAGACCTGTTGGGTTTTTTTTTTTTTTTTTTTTGCATGCTTTGTTCTTTGGGTTTTTTGTTTGTTTGTTTGTTTGTTTGTTTGAGACAGGATTTCTCTGTTTAGCTGGCCTCAAACTCACAGAGATGTGCCTGCCTCTACCTCCTGAGTGCTAGGATTAAAGGCATATGCCAACACCGCCTGGCTTGGTTTATACCATGGTACTGAGGAGGTCATGGACCCTGGGAGAGACTGAGTAATTCTTGAGGTTACAAAAGACTTTCAAAACAGGTTTATAGTATTCTAAAGGGCAAGCTCTTACGAAGGGCAGTACATGTATTTTAAAGAAGATTTTTAAAAAATGATTTGCATGTTTGTTTGTGTGTGATATGAGCATGGAAGTGCAGATACTTAAGGGGGCAGAAGAAGGCTTGGACCCTTTGAAGCTGAAGTTATAGACAGTGTGAGCCACCCACTGTGGGTGCTGGGAACAAAATGCATGTCCTCTGCAAATGCTGTATGTAAGCTCTCCCAACCACAGAGCCATCTCTTCAGTCCACATGAACTCATTAATTACAGTTCTTATTAGTAGTAAATTCTTTGGTGATCACGATACATAACTTTCCCCAATGAACCATAAGTTTAAAACCAGTAACCATATTTCCCTGAATAATGCCCCTTGCTATTCACCAAAATTGAGGAAAGGAAACCAGTTACCTAGACTTGGGAAATTCAAGTTCCTTCCATGTTCATAGGTGACCTATATAGCAAGGATCTTCTCAAACAAAATCTCAGCAACCAGAACAGTACTTATATGGTAACAGCTTTAAATGGTAGACTTTTACCATACACCTTTAAAAATCCGCAAGCAATTCTGCAATCTGAAAAGATGCTGGTGTCATTCTTTGCTCACTTTTCCATCTCTCATAATAGCAGATCTTGGTGTAAATTTCATACAGAGACAGTTTGAGATGCTTAAGCCAAGGTTAATATCAAAGATACTAATAAGCATTCGATAGAAACATTGTTATCTGATGAGTTTCCACTCACCAGAATTTTGAGGTAGGTATGAATGGTAGGAATGAAGTTAGTGAATGAGATGGAAATAAGTTAATTGGGCCATGCTCTCATGTGTTGATACTTGTGTATTATGGTGGGCCAAAGAATATCAGAATAAATAAACCAAAGCCCTTGCCTGCAAAGGTTGAAAAGACTTAATGAATCCAATATCAACCTCTTTAACGAATAGAACTGGATCAAAGCCTGTTGAATCATGATGAAACTCTAGCAGGTGCTCAAAATGTGTATGAATTCCGCTTATGACTTTGTTTGATGTCCCATGTGGATTCTGTCTGTGACCTCATCTGTTGTTTTCCTAAGCTCATCTAACAATGCCTGCTATACCATGCTGTGCTGGGTTGCTTTATATTTTATATGTGTACGTGTGTTGCACTTGCTTGTGTCATGTGAAACTCCTAAAACTGGGAAATGTAGAAATGTACTTAAAGAGAGGTCTCACAACTAGACCTAGTTTTCATTCCTGATTTTTACAATCTTGCCACACTAGAACTAGGAGAGAAGGAGCACCCTCAACAAGATGAGTAGCATCTACTGAGGACACATGGAAGCTAATAGCACTTTTATAAAGTTGAGTGTGGTGCAATATCGTGTAACAGAGAGAAGTAGAGGGAGCACAGACTTCCACAGGGAATCACAACTCAGACAGCCACAGGGATGCAGTCAACCATGTTTGTACTTTCTCCAGTGTTACTAGTTCCATCGGATGTGTTGGTGCTAAGGATTTGTCAATTCACATGTCTGCCTTCACAGTCCAGATACTCAAGAGCTCCCTCACCAAGAAGACCCTCGAGTTGCTTTCTTTAATTTTTTCTACATGTGTTTACTTAGCTTAGGCAAAGACATGTTCATGCCACAGCACATGTGTGGAGATTAAAGAGAAACTGTCAGGAATTGATTCTCTCCTTCCACCATGTAAGTTCCAGGGATGGAATCTGGGTAGTCAGGCTTGGCCTTAGTGGCAATCTACTTTACTCACTGAGCCATCTTGTTGGTCCAGCAATCAGTTCTTTGTCATTGTCATTAGCTCCTTGTATATTATGAGATACTTGTATTGTATATCATGTGTTATATATTATAATGTAGCCCTTTTGTGTCCCAATGCTCTGTGTAACACTACAGACATACACACACACAGTATTAAATCATTGAATGCTGTTTTAAAACAGATTGAAGTGACTTCTAAAGCTGCCAAGGAGAAAGGGTGAGGAAAGGTGTTTATAAAAAGGTTAGAGGCACAGTGGGAGCTTTAAACTAACCCCTTAGAATGGGTGTGAGGAACCAGAGGCAAAAGCTGGGTGCAGCTTAACTGCTAAATACAAAGCCAAAATGTTTTCTAAGATGGAGTGTAGTGAGATATTCACACACACACACACACACCCCAGCACCTGTAGCGCTGACCACGCCCATTTGGGCGTGATCAAGGATGCAGAACTGACCAGTTAAAAGAGGGCATCCTGGTGTCAGGGTCTGTATGCTTGGAGCAGACCCGGCGACCATCACTCATTTCTTGTATAAGTTATTTTCTCCTAATAAACTAACTCCACTCCATCATACTGGTCAAGCATCCTGATTTCCATGCCCCAAAACAGAGCAATATAAAACATTTTGAAACACAGGCAATAGCTTCTTACTTTCACTGCATCTAGACATACAATATTATCACCGGCATCTGAGTTAAGCCCTAGTGTTTCGGAAACAGCTTGAGCAAACTAGAAGTAAGACCGGCTGCATTTTCCCTCATTTTAGTCCTGCCTTCCTCCCACTTAGCTTGCTTCCTCCAGTTGGTATATTTGTCCACTCGCCTCTCTGATGCAGGCCTCTCTTTAACTTAACTTCTTCCGGCTGACTTCCTCACTACCTTCAGGAAGTCAAGCATTCTTCCCCCTGACCTTGTTTGAGTCATTCTCTAACTAATCCATGAACTCTTCCTTGTCCATATCTCAGAATAAACTCTTTCAGGTGGAATTTCCTCTGCCTGGAGCACGGAAATAGGAAAGACTGCTGGGGATGCTAAAGGTGCCCCAACTTCTCATCCTTTGATGGTTATGTCTTGGCACAGGAACCTCCCCACTTCGCTCATTTCCCCATGTCCATCAAGGTTAATTGTCCCTATCACACAGAGCCTGTAAATGTCTTCCATATCATTAATCACATTTTAACAGTGGTTTTTTTTTTTTTTGTTTGTTTCCTTCTTATTATGATATCTCTGGGGTTATAAAATCTCTGGGAAGTTTCATAAACTATCGCAAGTAACTTACAGCCTAGGCAGCCTGAATTTACAGATGAATTAAATTGTAATTAATGTACTACTAGCTTTAGTTTTTCAAGACTTTTAAGATCATAGACTATTTCTGCCCGAATTTTGTCCTATTATAATTGTGAAGTTGGTTTGCACTAAATGGGTAATTAAGAGTGCACTTGAACCAGGCACTTAGGATATGAAAGCAGAAGGATGGAGCACGAGAAGCCAATTTGGGCTACATTCAAGTTCCAGAAAGTTCTGGGCCATCCTGCCTATAAGGCCTTGTCTCAAGCAAACAGCTAAAGTGAATCTATGAACCTGGTGGAGCACAATACTTAAGGAGATGGCTTGGGAAGAGGAAATTTACTGAATTAAAGAATTGGACTCTGAGCCTTCTTTAAACAGTCTCCCAACGAAGCCAAACGCTGTGTGAACAAGCTGCTTATGAGCAGCAAGCAAGTTTGCTTCCATTTAAACTCACCCTGACACTCCTGAAACACGTCCACTCCAGACCCAAGTTCAGAGTGGAAAGGCTGTTCTACCTGGGGTCACCGTTTCATGAATAGAGCATAGATCACTGTGTAGTGTGTCTTATGACTGGAGTGGCATTACAAGAAGAAACAGCAAGGGGTTGGGAGCTCAGCCACGGTAAGCAAGCACCCAGCACTGTCAAGACACTACATTCAACTATGTGTTTCATGTCTCAGATGACTGCTCCGGCTCTCTGCTGCTAGTGTTTTAGGACATCACTTCTAAATGTTTTTACTTGTTTCTTAAATTTTTCAGAGGTTAGAAATTAAAGTAGCACGGTGGCTTTGAAGGTGTGTGGTTTTCCCCCCTGAGCACAAGAATAAATATACTGAAAGGAACACTAGTATCAAGGAGGCAAGCTATTTTGAAAAGAAAGCTCAGATTATTCGCACGCACGTTGTGGGGGCGGGGGGGAGAGGGGTGCCTACTGGCACAAGACCTCACAGGGAGAGGTTGAACATTCAGGATGTTTACGGGTAAAAGTAGAAGCTGGAGAAAGTGGAACACACCATCCATGCCCTGAAAGCCTGGCACCACGGCAGCTCAAAATAATTACCACCACTGAAGGAGCTGTTCTGGTCCACACTGTGTCCTTGTTAAAACAGATGAAAAATAAAAGAACAATTTTAAACGAAGCAGTCTATCTAAAGAAATAAACCAGCCACATAGGGCAATTTTTTAAAAATAGATGATGGTTGTATCTTGAGTGTTCCCCCAAACTTGCAAGCAGTGTTGGGCAGGGAGAATCTTGGTTTGGGGGTCTCAATTAGCAGAGAAATCTATACCGCTGCCCTGAGGCAACAAATAAAAATAAATAAAAGTTTGGAGCTGGGCGTGGAATTTTCTCTCCAGCTGCAGCAGATGTCCACAAACGTGTTTAACTTCATCTCCACCCTGGCTGGGAAACCAGAACCAAACTTGCCCGAGGGTGCTCAGTACTTGGCCAACACCTGGGTTTCTCTGTCAGGCAGGCAGCCGCCCCGGGAACAGAATGGCGTTTGTTTTAAAGGGGAAAAGCGGGAGGAATGAGCATGAACCCCAAGAAGTGGTTTGCGCAGGGCCAGTAGGTACACCTCCTGGAGGACTCACCTCTCCCGTTTTGCAGCCCGCCGGGGGAGCTGACCTGGGGATAGGAGAGGGTGTTGGCTGAGTATCGCCCATCCCGCCCAGATGACAGGACCCTAGGCTACCATGTACAGCTCATTGCTTACCCAGCCAGAAGTGCAGGCGGTAGGAGAAGCCCTTGCTCGCCTTGGCAGTGTACAGCACCAGGTAGGCGTCTCCGACGTAGAAGTCACCATGGGCACCCTGGGGCACCGGTACCAGCTCCAGCTTCTCGACCCTCCACACCTGCAGCCCCGCTTCCCGGCCCGCGCGCGCGAACTCGGGGTGCTGTAGTTCCTGCGCCATGGTACCCGCAATGCTGGCAGAGCCTAGGGGACTTGGATAGCGCCCTGAGCCCAAGTGTGCGTTAGGTGAGAGCCAACCTGCTCTCCTGGCTTTTATGGGACTCGCCCTGGAACGAAGGTGGAGCCGGGAGTGTAGCCAAAGGCCACGCCCGACCCCAGGCAGGAACCTGCCTAAAACTCTAGGAAGTGTCTCCCTCCTAAAATAAATAAGTAAGTGAATAAATACTGTAAGAGACACTACATGGCAACAGATGGGTTCTTCCTGCAGCACCCAGGCGGGTGCACGCTGGTCTCGCCTCTCCAGTTCCTTCCCTGGTGGGGTTCACCCAGTGATGCACCCCCCCCCCCCCGCCGCCGCTGGGGTGGGAAGCGGGGCATAGGAACGAGAATCATCCACTCACAAAACAGGCCAGATATGAGGGCCACAACGCGTGCCGGTTAGGAGTTTGAATGATCTGCTGTGTCACTTTGGCAAGCGCAAGGAATTGTCCTGCGCGGGCTCCCTTGATTCATTGTTGGGTAGCCTCTCTGAGACTCCTGGTGGCCACAGCTTTTCTTTGGATGGGTTTGGAAACTCGATGTACAACAGAACGTCAGGTTTTCTAGAAAACATAAAAATCTAACAAACTATCCGTGCTACTGGCGTCAGAATCAGCTAATCCCTTGGCATCCATCCTGGAATTGTGATAACGTGCCACCTGCCTGTGGTGCCAAGAAAGTCACTGCAAAACACATCAACAGCCCTCCCTGGATGCTCTGTACTGGGCTGTTCAGGACTAATTTTAAGCCCGACCAGAGATTTGAATTACCTGACTTCAGGGCATTTCTCATGTATCATTGTTTCTCTGACACTTCTTGGCTTTGCTCACAAAGAATAATTTGCATCCATTTTATTGTATTCAGAAACTAATGTAGTAAAAAATTCTATTAATGAAGACGCAAATAGGAAACTACATACAGGATTAGAGAGTTGATTGTGGTTAACTCATGTAATTGTTTCACTGTTTCTCTAGTTGCAGAACTTCTTGGAAGGCCACTAATAGTAAGGGCACAGTTAGGTTTTCTTTTTAATGAACATTTAGAAATAAGTCATACACGCAGTGTTAAAACTTAAGAAATAGCCCAGGGCTATTGTTGTGTGCATGTGTTTGGCTTAAGCTTAGGAGAAATGTATAAAGCCTCCTAGAAGTACTCCAGTGATGTATATCTCCTGATAACATTTTCCTGGCACACAGCAGGAGCATGCATGCATGCATGCAGAGAGGAGAGAGAGAGAGAGAGAGAGAGAGAGAGAGAGAGAGAGAGAGAGAGAGAAGGATGGACAGAGAGAATATCAATACTCCATATTCATAGAGTTTCCATGTTTATAGATTACATAGCCTATATAATAAATGATTATATTTGATCTGTCCAAGTCCACAGGCATTTAAATTGTGTCTATATTTTGCAAGTAATATTTGTGAATCTCTCTCAACAAGCTTTATTGTGCATGCTAGCACAACCAGGCTCTGGTGCCTTCCGTATTAGTCAGCTTGCTGATGATGCTTGCAAGGGACAGAACACCTGGCAGGAACAACTTGAGGGACTACTTATTCTGAACTGCAGCCACCCCTTCAGTTTCTCCACCCCTGTTTCTATGTCTACCTTCTTTAGGGAGTGGGAGACTCTTAAGAAACGGGAATTTTCCTGTTCTGGTAGCATTCTTTGTTATAAATTGAGCTAGTCATCAGCAACCTTTATTAGCTGCTTCCTCTCTTATAACCAGAACAACGAGAGATGTTTCTCCGCCTCTGTCTCTCTCCCTGCCGTGTGTGTGTGTGTGTGTGTGTGTGTGTGTGTGTGTGTGTGTTCATGTGTATGTATTCAACATTTTCAGCTTTTTATGATCTAAGGCGAGGTTTCCACCTTTGCTGTCATTACCTCCCTGGACCAGCATTCTCCCCTATGGTCCCATTCCCTGGCCCTCACCTTTCAGCAGTCCCAACACTTGAAGCAAGTGTTCTCTCATGAGTGATAGGCCCATCTAGAGACTCATGTCTTAATATTCCCTGGCATCACCATAATTTACATGTTGGATAGGTGTGACTGAACTGTTGGCTTTGTACTATTCTGTACTTATTTTTCATCAGTCTATAAATTCTGTCATCCCACAAGGAAATAGCCAGTGGAAACAAGTTGTTTACCAAGAGTTTAGGATTTTGAGCCTTGTGACTAACTCAAGGTTGGTGCTCTGGAAAGTTGATGTCCAAGTGGAAAATACCACAGTGTCTAATCCTTGAAGCAGTAACTATGTCAAATAATGCAATTGAGACCTTGTGAGTTGCTAGAGTGGGTAGTAAAAACAACTAGCTGGAAGCTGGAGAAATGGCTCAATAGTTAAGAGCACTGGCTACTCTTCCAGAGGACCTGGATTCAACTGCCAGCACCCATATGGCAACTTATAACCATCTAGTTCCAGGAGATCCAATGTCCCTTTTCTTTAGACACCAGGTGTGTGGTACACAGATATGAATACATACAAAACACCCACACACATAAAATAAAATAATTATCAAAATTTAAAAACTGGCTTCATGTGTTTGTCATTCCTCAAATCATGGGATGTGGTTTTAACGGTATTTCTTCTTTTACTTTTCTTTTCTTATTTCTATTCTTTTAATCTTTTGAGACAAGGTCTCCTTATAAAACCTGGTTGGCCTGGAACTCACTGTGTAGACCTGGATGGCCTCAAACTCATAAAGATCTGGTTGGTTGCCTCTCCTTCCCAAATACTGGGGTTAATGTTGTATACCTTTTAAGAGCAATAATAATAATAATAATAATAATATAGAAAAATGTGAAGCTTTTACCTGCATATGGAAAGTTTATTCTCTTGCAGGTCAGCAGCACCAGAAACAAACAAACAAACAAGCGAACAAAACCAAAAAAAAAAAAAAAAAAAAAAAAAAAGCAGCTAGACTATGTAAAGGGTAAAGGTCTTCTTGATTTTATCTATTATGTATTTTAAAAAAAAAAAAACCTAACAGAGGAGGCTAGGGGAATGACTCAGTGATTAAGAGAACTTGCTGCTTGTCCAGAGGAATCAAGTTCAATTCCCAAGACCTTCACTAGTTGGTTCACAACTGCTTTTAACTCCAGCTGCCAGAGAGAGGTTACCCTCCTTTGGATGGCCAGCACCAGCACACAGGTGACATACATCCACACAGACAGAATGTATACATAAGAATAGTCCTGAGCAGGGCAGTAGTGACTCTCAACTTTAATCCCAGCACTCAGAAGGCAGAGGTAGATGGATCTCTGTGTTCAAAGCCAGCCTGGTCTACAGAGTGAGTTCCAGGACAGCCAAGGGCTACACAGAGAAATCCAGTCCTTGTGGTGGTGGGGGGGAGAAGCAGAGAAAGAGGGAGGAGAAGGGAAAGAAGACCTTCTCCTCATGTATTTCTTTTTCCAAGAATGTTTTAGTCTTCTATTATACCTCAGAAATGTGCTAAAAGCTGTTTTTGAGTTATAAAATACAGTAACTTTTTTTAAAGCAAAACATTGGGAATTACTACTTCAAAATGAAATACCGAGTACCCACACACAGGTTTTTCTTTTTCTTAACAGTCTAAACACAGCTGGGAAACCAGCATGGGACCTACTCAGACCCCCTGAACATGGGTCTCAGTTAGAAGGCTTGGGAAGTCTAAGGGGCCTCTGACAATGTGACCAGGATGTATCCCTGGTGCACAAAAGGACTTTGGGAGCACATTTCCCATGGAGGGATACTCCCTTAACCTAGAGGCAGGAGGGAGGGCCTAGTCCCTACTCCAAATGACTTGACAGATTTTATTGATCCCTCCTGGAAGGCATCATCCTCCCTGTGGAGTGTGGGTGGGAATGGAATTGGAGGATGGGGGAGATGGGAGGGAGGGAGGGAGGGAGAGGGAACTGGGATTGATATGTAAAATAAGTTAATAATAATCATAAAAAAGATTTTTAAAAAACAGTCTAAACACCTTTGCAGCACACCTGTAAGGCTGCTTGTGATATTTGATGTGTTAATAAATTCTCCATATCTCTATTCATTACATAGTTGAAACAAAACAAGTGAATGACAGGAAGTTCACTAGGAGGGGGGGAGTATGTTTTACATATGTTAGTTATGACTCTCCTTTTATTATGAATTACAAGGTGAATACAATTAAAATACATTTATTTTACTGGCCCTTCTATTAAACTGTAACAATTCATGTTATATTTACTGAACCATTTTCAGGCATAAACATGGTACCTGGTGTCAGAAGACCTGAGGGTTGTGAACATTAGAAGATTATGTCTGTCAAACCCAAACACACGTCAATAGACACTGCTAATAGTTAGCAAAAGCCCTTTGCAAAGTTTGGAGACTGGAGTGGAAATACAATTTAGGGCAGCATATTTTTATCCAGCAAGCCCAAGGGGACAAATTACAAGTTTATTGTCATTGTTGGTGTTGTTACTCAAGGCTTGAGTACTGTGGTGTACATGTGGAGGTCAGAAGACTGTTCTCCTGAGTCACTTTCCTCCTTCCGCCTTGCCTTGGGCTCCAGGGTCATGCTCATCATCAAGCTTGTCCCTTCTGGTGGCAAGCACCTTCACCTGCTGAGCCATCTCTCTGGCTCTAGAAGGGCGTTTTCTTCTGCTTTGTTTATGGTTTTATTTTTTTAAGCTTCAATAAAGGGCTTGAGCGCTGCTTCTCATGACCAGAATATTTTAACATTAATACAATACAGGTGCTATAGAGGCATAGTCCATGGCTCAGTCCTGAGGGAACGTTTTGTTGGTGCCAAAGGCTCACTGGTGTGATAGTCCTTTATTATTCATTAGCACCGCCTCGAATCTTTATTTCTATTCAGCTCAACCTTTTATATTGATGATGCTTTTAAAGGAAGCACAGCACAGAAGATTACAACTGTTTAGTAGCTGCATCTAAATTGTGTCCTGTGTTTTATTATTGCCATTCAGTCAGTTCCTGGCCCCTGAGAAATGACATCGTAGTGACTTTTGAGGTCTACACATCAGAAGG